AGGATGATGTAAAAAACAAAAAGGCAAACTCGGGCCTGATTTATCGGTCTGTGTTTACTTGCATAGCAATATTTTGTTATTCTTGAATAGTTTGGTATTAAATCAAGGAACGGACGTACACATTATGGTATTTTAGGGGTTTCTGTTATTTTTGGAAATCGGAAGGCCGAGAGCAGTTTACTTCAATTCATTCACTCTTGCAGTCAAGAAAACTGACTACATAGAGAATAAACTGACGGAAACTACTTTATGATTGCCCCTTTCTTCAAAAGAGAAGATTCCCTCTGAGGGGACAGTGATGACGTCATAAATAGCATACAAACCGGAACAGAATGAGAAACAACGCATGACTTCTGTATGCCATTTCAATTTAGGCCACATATCGTTTCCTGGATGTCTTATTCTAATCTGTTTACTCAAGAGAATCCAAGATTATTCTGTCCGTACTTTGCATTATACGTTATGGCTTGCACATAATGAGGAAGAGAGAATCAAGTGACCTGTTTGCGTTTCCGGTTCGTAAAGAGTACGTGCATTCCGGGGACGCAAAATTAGTGACGTTTTATATAATTGACAATAGAAAATAGAATAGACGAAGATAGGTCACTGCTTGCATGTGAACGTAGGCGTATTTCTGGTTGTCGCTTTTGCAAAACCTGGAAAGGGTGTCCGAGTCGGCGTTCGGTAGCCTGCGTGGCAGGCGTTTGAAAGGGAAGGGACAGGGAGTTTTAGGCGCTAGAGAAACGCGAGGGGCGCGCGAGGAGGGAGGGAAGGAAAAAAAATGAGAAATACAATGGTCTCCTTGCAGGCGTTTCCTTCCCTCTCTCCTCGCGCGCCCCTCGCGTTTCTCTAGCGCCTAAAACTCCCTGTCCCTTCCCTTTCAAACGCCTGCCACGCAGGCTAGCGTTAGGTTACTGCGAATATCTGATTTCATGTTTGTGAGCGTCGTTCCCGGGATCCTAATCTTTAAGGTGGGGAAAACCAGGAAAGAGGAACTTAAGGGAACCATCAACGATAATTTGCACTCAGCACTGACCTGAACGGAGATATAGCCCTTTCTAAATTGCGCATGATTATGCGCTGTTTCAATCTCGTACCCAGATCTCACACTGTCTTACCCTGAGAGAATAACATATCTACGGTATGTACATACTCATGCCCAAGTCCTTGGCCAGGAATGCATGGCCTAGGAGTTGAAGAGCCAAAAGAATGAAGCGAAAAGATTCTGCAATATTTACGAGTAGACTCTCTCCTGCATGGTGCAGTGTCTGCCTCGTCTTTCTACCCCATAATTAGGAAGTTAAAAGTTTCGAGTCTTTTATACGCTTTGAGAGATTGTCCTCGACAGTGGNTGAGAAATACAATGGTCTCCTTGCAGGCGTTTCCTTCCCTCTCTCCTCGCGCGCCCCTCGCGTTTCTCTAGCGCCTAAAACTCCCTGTCCCTTCCCTTTCAAACGCCTGCCACGCAGGCTAGCGTTAGGTTACTGCGAATATCTGATTTCATGTTTGTGAGCGTCGTTCCCGGGATCCTAATCTTTAAGGTGGGGAAAACCAGGAAAGAGGAACTTAAGGGAACCATCAACGATAATTTGCACTCAGCACTGACCTGAACGGAGATATAGCCCTTTCTAAATTGCGCATGATTATGCGCTGTTTCAATCTCGTACCCAGATCTCACACTGTCTTACCCTGAGAGAATAACATATCTACGGTATGTACATACTCATGCCCAAGTCCTTGGCCAGGAATGCATGGCCTAGGAGTTGAAGAGCCAAAAGAATGAAGCGAAAAGATTCTGCAATATTTACGAGTAGACTCTCTCCTGCATGGTGCAGTGTCTGCCTCGTCTTTCTACCCCATAATTAGGAAGTTAAAAGTTTCGAGTCTTTTATACGCTTTGAGAGATTGTCCTCGACAGTGGCATAACTACTAGCAGTGCTCGTATATTTAATTTACCAATAATTATTCTAGTTTTTGTAAGTTATGCTCAATTTAGGAAAACATGCAGAAATTATTCTTCTACTTTCTACTTCAAATTTGGTAAAAATACCTCAATAACTGTGCAACAAACAATTAAATGGCAAAACATTTACCCTATTTATGTGTGGGAACCTTAAGCTTAAGAGTGCATAATTCACTTACTGAAAACTATGAAAGTTCAAACAAAAAACCAGCACTCGGACGCCATGTTAGATAACCGAGCTAGTCAGTTATGCGCATGCGCTGAGTCCAGTGAAAAGCTCCAAAGTTTCTTCCTTTGGGACCCTGGTCCCATGAATGCCACACCAATCTGATTTGCTAGTAACACTTATTAATTGGTTGCATGATCAATAAATGACAATTCTTTGCAGCAAAACTAGCCGAAAGTGCAAATTATGCTAGCAGTGCTTTTTTCGGGAAATACATTAAAATGCTCGTAATGACGGATTATGCCAAAAATTATGCCAGCACAATCTATCAAAGCATAGTCTCCCTAATTACTTATCCATCTCTTTAAGATAGACACCAGCTGCATCGCCATCGTTTGTGCTCTAAATATTATCTGGTTATGTCTCTCTCTCTCTCTCTGTCTCTCTCTCGAGCAAGTCCTTTTCTCGTTATTACAACATCAGAGAGTGACGTGGGCCTCGAGAAACATTAAACAAACGATATTTTCCGGAAATATTGATGAATGAATGAAGAGTCATGGATGAGAGGACAACAGACGTACCCTTTTACAATACATATTTTAAACATGTGAACAGTAAGCTCTGACGTCAGCTTACAAAGGCGCCACTGGCAGCCGCCTTCAGTCCATTTATGAGCTTACTGTACCCACCCAACCCATAATGTGAATGATGTGATGTGTGAAGGTTGGCCACAACACCGGGGTCTACGTCCCCTACTCTTTTCGAACAGTGGTGTGGGTTCTTTTACGTCCCACAAGAACCAGATAAGTGTAAGTGCTGTGCGACGGGATCTACGGCTTTTCGTCCTTATCCGAGAAGAGCAGAAAGTCTAACCGTTCGCAGATGTTATTCCAGAGGCAGCACTTTCTTCTCAGTTATTTAAAGACCCTGAGCTTTGGACCGGCCGGGGTTCGAACCCGTGACATCCCGCTCAGGAGACCGGCGCTTTCCCAACTGAGCCAACCAGGCGGCGGTTGATCCGTTTATTCTGGCAAACTAAATGAAAATCGACAAGTTGTCTCTTCTCATGATGGAGAATTTGTTGTTAACCTATTATTAACCTGTCTCTTGCCTGCGAGGCATTTGTCGCCTCGCTACTTTTTCAACTGTCCATTTCCTTCCGCATTCCTCAATCTCCATTGAGGCTTTCATGGGAACGAGGGGGCTATTATGTTAGTAAACCCGCGCCACATAAAGTGGAGAGAGAGAAAGTAGCATCTTTCCAAAATGACCTCATCTTCCTGGCACCTGTCACGAAACATCATTGAAGCTTAACAAACTTCCACGCCCTTTGAGCATGCATTGTGTCATCTCCAAAATAACCTGTTACCGCTCACTTCAGAATCTCTAGGCCGGTAGAAATGTCGCCTAAAATCAGCTAAGAGCTAGACATTTTGATCGACGCGGTTGCATAACCGAAATTTGTCATTTATCACTCGTTCCGTTTAATTTGTTAGTCTACTGAAACTGAAGTCTTCCGGTATATAGAGGCCTGGCTCAGGATTCGAGAACTCCCCGTGATTGGAAAGCGGATAAACAGTTTATATGGTGGGGTGTGAAATAAAAACGCTTTAAAGGTGGAGGAGATTCAGGTAAGAGGGTGCATTGAATGTCTGCCTCAGCTCTGAAGGTTGCTCTTTATTGTCCGGATTCCATCGATTGCGACTTTCAAACCTTACATATTCAGTGACTTGTATCGTAGCTTATCGTGCTTCCGTAAGGTGTAGGAAATTGTCTTTGGATATTATCAACGTCAGTATTGTAGTCAGTAAAATTTATTTTGATGGCGCCTTAGTAGAACCAGCATGTAATTCCGGAAAATTTAGAATTATGTCGTTTTCTCCTTCGGTGGTCTCTTTTATCTTTGTTTGCTTTTTTAAAGGAACACACCTGCTTGTATGTGTTAAATAGACAAACTGACCTCACGGGTGTCTTGCACTATGGCAGTGTACAAGTACCCGGTAGAGCAAGTTTGGGAATTTTGAAGTGAGTAAATCCTCAGAAATTAGTCTAGGAGCAAGGTCTCTCTTCTTGAGGGTGGACTGTTAGGCTCGACTGGACGGAGAAAGCTTTCCCGCAGGTCTTTTAGGCACCTCATTACATAAGTGTTTCTCCGTACAAGGACTTACAACCTGACGTTTACATGTGGACGTTCTGGACTACGGATGAACGTTAAAACCGCGTGCAGTTACCTTGCAGTTAAATGTAAAGTGAATGGAGAGGAGAAGTTCAGTTAGGCACCGGTCATTATTTATTGCCGCGGGGGGAGGCGGAGGATTTGGGGCTAAACAAGGTGAAATTTAGCTGCTCCCCCCTCTGAATATTACTTCACTGAAGTGATCCCCCTTAATAACTTTTGATAACTTTCGCAACCCCCCCTTCGCGTGTCTTCATTTTCCAAGCCAATTTGAGTGATCCCCCTCTGAACCCTTCAAAAAGTTTTCAGCGATCCCCTATTTTGGGTTTCTTAGTTACGACTGATGATCCCTCTTTTGTTCTCGTAAAAATCAAAGTGATATCCCCCCTAAAATCCTTCGCTCTCCTCAGGTGATAAATAATGACCGGTCCCTTACGTCACCGTGGTCCTGAAAATATGGCAGAAAAAAAAAACGAAAAAAAATGACATGTATGACTTTCTTCTGTATGATTTCTTTCATGAACAAAACGGTAGCCCATATTCTCCTTTAATCGTTCGACAATGCAAATAGCAGTCTCTGTCTAGAAAGATTTTTGAGATCCAGAAATTTTGTTACCATGGTAACGTGACGTCAGATTTCTCTCTACTACTAATATGGACTGAATTTAAACCCTTCTTTGTAGATTGCACGTCTGGCCCTGACGTGGGGTTATGCTCTGATTATAACAATAGCCATCCTAACAACGTGCGATGCAGTTATCACAGAAAAAGGAGTTCTTGGATGTAAGCCGTGTTCAATAGACAACTGCAAAAATGAAACAAACTGCCTTCTTGGCTCTACAATGGACCTGTGTAACTGCTGTACCAAGTGTTTCAGAATCAACGGTAAAAAGATCTCTGATCGACAATCTATAATAATTTTGAGTCAAGTAAGACCTTGGCAGTCACAACGGAGTTAAATTTTAAACATTTAAATTAAACTTTTGGTCGGTAAAGATGGAGAGGGAAGGGGCATTGTAGTCATGCTGGATAGGATAAAAGGTGGGTCCATACTGCAATAGCAAAGCTGAATACTAGTAGAGTAGATTCGTTGTAATCTGTATGAAGCACGCCAGAGACTGATCGTAGGTTGAAATAGATTCCTCAGTAGATTGTAAGAACATGATTCCCATTATCATTCTCGACTTTTGTAAAGACCCCTAGAGCCTTTTAGTAGTGTTAGAAAACTCAGTGTAACTTTAGTTCTAGTTTGCTCCTGCACGGACATAATTGTTCAGATCCATCGCATAACAAATTCAATACTTGGTTTATTTCCGACGTTTGATTTAACAAACTGTTTGTCCATCCAATTGGAATAGTGATCTAATACGCCAATAACTTCGTCAACGCAAGTATATTAAGGCATGGCTCAATTTTTGGTCTCGACCCCCCGCGAAGATAAAACTGTTTTTCCTTCTACGGTCGTGGATTTTAATTCTAAAAGTTGCTAAAAAAAACTTTCGGGAATTTTCTTTTGAGGCATTTAATTGATTAGGGTTGAACTGATGTGGTCACGAGAAACGTGATGTCATAGTGATATACAAAAGAAAACGCTAAATGGGGTAGGGATGGTTCATTACAACTAACTCTGAACCATGTGTAAGTGTTTGGCTTTTGGTACAAAGTTTTTCCGTGGCCGGAACGGAGAGAATTTTTGATTTCTTCAAAAGATATTAACAGATAAAAAGCGTCACGTGACCTATTTTGCTTAATTGTTGATTAAATAAAAATGGGAGTCAACCATTCCGGCCAGAATGATGCAAGGAATCATGATAGAATAACAAAAATAATGTATTTAATATCTACTGTGTGGCATCTCGCCACCCCATTTTTAGTTAATTTTCTCTTCTTTCCTAGTTGACCTTAACTGGTCACGTGACACACAAATATGGTTTCTTGCGTAACAGGAAAATTAAGTTTACTGATATCTTTGAGGTTACAAAATTTTGATAGGTTCTGGTCAATTTTCACAAGGTTATGATCATTATAAGATTTTATGCAAATTAGGCTCAGCAGGCTTTGTAGTTAATTTCATCAATTATTATACAGCTTATTGCTGTGAAAATGGTCATGATTCGTACATCTTTGAACATGTTTATAGTGGCCTGGAATAACTAATAATTGATTAGGGTTGAACTGATGTGGTCACGAGAAACGTGATGTCATAGTGATATACAAAAGAAAACGCTAAATGGGGTAGGGATGGTTCATTACAACTAACTCTGAACCATGTGTAAGTGTTTGGTTTTTGGTACAAAGTTTTTCCGTGGCCGGAACGGAGAGAATTTTTGATTTCTTCAAAAGATATTAACAGATAAAAAGCGTCACGTGACCTATTTGGCTTAATTGTTGATTAAATAAAAATGAGACTCAACCATTCCGGCCAGAATGATGCAAGGAATCATGATAGAATAACAAAAATAATGTATTTAATATCTACTGTGTGGCATCTGGCCACCCGATTTTTAGTTTTCTCTTCTTTCCTGGACTTGACCTTAACTGGTCACGTGACACACAAATATGGTTTCTTGCGTAACAGGAAAATTAAGTTTACTGATATCTTTGAGGTTACCAAATTTTGATAGGTTCTGGTCAATTTTTACAAGGTTATGATCATTATGAGATTTTATGCAAATTAGGCTCAGGCTTTGTAGTTAATTTCATCAATTATTATACAGCTTATTGCTGTGAAAATGGTCATGATTCGTACATCTTTGAACATGTTTATAGTGGCCTGGAATAACTAACAATCATAACATTAATTATCTATGCCATTTACCATGATTCACCTAAGTGCCCCTATCTGCCCACTTTTTTGGATTATTAACTCTAGTACACTGTATATTTTTCTTGCTCCATGCAGGTCAAAAGTGTGGTGGCATTGGCTACATCGTAGGTCGTTGTGGCAAAGGACTAAAATGTAACTTGGCTTATGCTACTTACACGAACCCCGTGGGTTATTGTGTTCCGGTGTTAAATCCTACAACGACTCCGGTTCAAAAACCTTTAACACGCAGACCGTTTTTTGCTACCACCTTACACGACTGGGTGAATTTAGATCAGCAGTCGGGGGTTCCAAGGCATGATATCCCCGGTGTTCCAATCAATAGCGTGGCTGAAAATAATCCTAGGATAGAACAAAAGTCGCCTGAAAACGATGACAAATACTTCGTTCATTCAGCTGGCTCGTGGAATATGGAGATTGTTAATGATCATGATACGCCACGAGCACCTTTACGTCCAAAGAATGCGACACAAAACACAACGCAGACTAGCAACCCGAAGCGACAGAGGACAGTCAATAAAGGTAGTAGTGGATATATATTAGCTTTAGTTATAGAACTGATCTAGATGTGGTTTGAATCAAGTTCGAAAGAAGACAAGCGAGTTGTTTGACCTATTCAGGCTTCTTTGGGAATTGCGGGATTTTAGCCAAGTTTTTTCATGCGTTTCTTTTTATACATTCACCGAGTGAAAACTGACGTGCGAGGAGCATAAAGACATAAAAGAAAAGAAAAAAAGAAGGAAAGAAAGAAAGAAAGAAAGAAAGAATAAAAGGCCAATATCTAACCATCTAGATCAAACGTTCTTGGTCTGTCAATAAGTTTAAGCTTATTACATTATATTTAAACTTGTTATAGTGCCAAAGCCGGAAAACGGCTGCGAGAACAAAGAGGGCAGTGGCGACTTTAAAGTAACGTTAAAATAACACAACAGAAACAACAGATTCCACGGATGAGCAAAACTGAAGAAGATTGAAATGGATTAAAATTAGGGTTTTTGAAAACTGTTCAGCTAGTAACAGTCTTTCAAAGTTGATCCCTGCTGCTTGCAACTTCAAAAATAATGCTCAGGAGACATATTTGTTTGTCTCGTATCTATGATTTTGTCATTTACATGTAATTTCTTTTCTGGCTTTAAGTTCCATAGCGATTGAGGGTGAGTAATTGGCAAAATTAAACAAAATGAACTGGACTGCCGTGACACAGCCCCTGTAAGTCCACATATGTTGGACTAATAAGGTGAATCAGAGGATGTTTACATGTCATATAGTGCTGATTGTATGATCTTTATTTTTTCTACGTTACAGCTTCTGCTGATGACTTTATCTCTGATATATCTCCAGCAGTGATCTTTGTGGCTGTCACAGGAGGAGTATTTTTATGTTTAGTTGGTTTGCTGTTTCTTCCGACGTCTCATAGAAGCTTACAGAACTAAACATGAACTATCACTGTGTTCTTAAGCCTGCTTTATAACGCCTTTTAAGCTACAATCGGCGCGGCGACAAAATTAGTTGATACACTTTGCCCTAAAGCGTCTCTTTAACGTTTTTCTAACTTATTTAAAAAGAGCGAATAAAGTTTTTCCTCCTCTATCCCCCTCCATGCAATGTTGTTCCGCTGTTCGAGCTACCTGTAGAAAGCAAGGAAGATACGACCTTTGAATGGAGGGGACGGGGGAGGGGTGTGGGTTGTTTTGTTCTCCGAAGTTACCCCATTTAAGGACAATGTCTCCTCCTGATCACAGGTTAACCTCTCATTGAAATACCTCACAAGGGTTTTGTGCCTGCCTCATACCCAGACGTCGTCTCCCTCTATGAAAATTTCCACGCAAAGGAAGGCGGGAAGGGGAATGTGGGCGGGGCAGCACTTCGCCTCTTATTTTTCTCCTTCCCAAAGTCCCTTGCGCTTCATCACTAGTCATTCGCGTGTCACTCGCGTTTAGCTTTCGCGCTTGCCTCTGTGCGAAAAAAGAAGAGCCTGAGGAGGAGACAGCACCTGGTGCTATATGTTGGAAAATCGTATACAGATCTGCTTCCCCGAAACTCTCGTGAAAAACACTGAGTTCATTTTAGAAAGAAATTATTATAGCACTGAGTCGGGCTATGTTTGCTGCGTTTCATGTCTTTTGATATTTCTTGCCTTAGAAATCGCAACCTTTTACTTTAGCAACTGGATTCTTTCTAATTCCGTTGTTTTTTAATGTTATAATGTAAACTGTTTTATTCCGATGTACTCCTTACTAACAAGAGCGTTATTTGCATTTTTTTCGACTACTTCAGTTGCTGTTCTTCGTTATAGTTGAAATCAAGTAGGAAAAGAGTTTTAATCTTTCTTTTTTCATTTGCAAATTATCCATAGTTAAAAAACCTTACACTGTCCATATTGTAAAATGTGTTTGTAATTTGTTGGGACGAAAGTTATAAAGAATACCCGGGAGGATATGTCGTCCGGAAGTAAAATTCTAGTTCTGTTATAATAAACGAAGAATTTGTGTTTCTGGCGTCTCTACTAATATGCATGGTATCTTAGATGCGCTAAGGAGAATAGAAAAGAAGGACGGGAAGACCAAATATAGCCCTTAAACGGGAGGTTTTGAATCGATTTATTGTTGAAGGGGGTAGTCAAATGACTGAGTAGTTAGCCTGTTCCAGGCTCCGAGATAGTCGGGTCCGCAAATTTGAGAAAGCGCGAACACGAAATAAAACAATAAAACGGGAGAGGAATAACTGAGGAGAGAAAGAGCGGGCGCTCGGCCCCCTTTTCGTTAGTACGATCAGCTTTGCAGAATTCAGTGTCTACTCAGTGTTTATTTTTGCTGGTCACGTCTTTCACAGATCCTACGTTTTGCCGCATATTCCTTTGCAGTCCTTTGCAGTTTTGATGTCAATTCCCATTTCCTCAAATCACGCGCTAATATTTTCGCGTGCCTTTCACTTACGCCCAGTCCCAACTATCTGAGAGCCTGAAACAGGCTTCTTAGTAGTATAATTTTTGGTTCTTATTTAAAGGGTAACTGCTTTGGCTCGAGTTACTGATAATGAACAGAGTATCTTAACTGCCCCTCGCAGCTCCTTCTCACGCGCGAAACAAACTCCACGCCTCCCACGCGATTCACAACCCCTATCCGCACAAGCCTATTCCCCCTGATGTTGAATTGTTGTTCAGTGATGGTAAAACCAAAGAGTAAGAGGGCCTTCAATGTAACCTTTCCGGGATAATCTCTCAGTGATCATTCAGTCATTTCAAGTTACGAGTCCTTCAACGAGTTCAAGTTGATTACATTCAGGACCTTAACATAATTTATTATATGGAGGAGAATGTTTTACTGGGAACTAAACCACTCGTAGATTCCATACGCCACTTCATCCGGGACCCGAGTGGCGTATTTTCCGTATGTCACCTTTGTGAGTGTCGTATCGTTCAATGACGTCACGATTCCCGCCTTTTGCTTTTGTTGAATTGGTTTCTCCATATAATAAAAAGAACATTACACGTTGGCTCGAAGATATGAATTTTATGTTCTCGTGGCAAGAACAATATCTCACTCGTTCGCTTCGCTCACTCGTGAGATATTGTTCTTGCCACTCGAACATAAAATTCATATCTTCTCGCCACCGTGTAATATCCTCTATATATGTTAGGCTTTTGGTGTTACCGCATTCGCATCGCAGACTCAAGTTTGACCCTCCTTTCCTGTCAACTCGACTGGTCACTGTAACGTTCTTGTAGTTTCGTTGAAAAACTACTTACCTTATGGCGGTATCTAGTTAAGTGTATTCTTCAAAGATAAATAGGAAGTAAATAATCTACATATAGTACAACATGGATCGTGGAGTGTCGATTACGGAGCAAAGATTGGCGGAGAAACTGACCATCTTGAATGAGAGAGGGCTTGGAATGCTCACGAGAATTTACAACATCAAAAAAGTAAGGAAGCTACTGATTTTGTAGTGGAAAACGCGGCCTTATTCTTAACTTAGTCTTAGATGCTTAAATGAACAGTCATTTTCTGTGCTCAGCTGTTCTGAAAACCTACAGTATCGCTTGTGCACGGCTCTGCTGTGAGGAGTGGCGAATAATGTAGGTCTCTGGAAATTATCGTCCCATCTGAAATATCGAAACAAATTTGATCAGCTTTTACTCTGAGCTGGCGAATAAAGTAAAGATTGATGCTAGTCTTATATGAGAACAGTTACAGAACCAGGGGTGCTTTGGATGATGTTGCACATGGTAAGACGTATTGTCATTCCATAGCTTTGCCCTTGGCAAAGTTGTGTTGTTGTTTTTTTTACAGAGATTTTGCTCTCTGTCACAGCCATTAATCCACCAATTGTAGAGTTGTATTGACAGCTATAATTTTCTAATGGTTAAGAGATCTTGTAATTTGTGAGTATAGATGGAGCATGATCGTCCAGATAAGTGTAGGCCTGAATAGGACAGGGGCACCCAATAATGGTTTCCTCCTAAATGCTTCGAAAACGCTTTTTAGACTATCCAGGGTATTTTTAGATCTCTAGAAATGAATTCTAAGTGGTGCTATAAAATCTGTATCTGTTCGGTCATCCTAGGGGAACTTGAGTCTTTTCGAAATTACCATGGCCTCAGTATTGTTTTCTTGAGAATTTGAGATGCAGTTTTAAGTTTTACGCATTTTTGAATCCGAAAATTTTAGGTTTCCTTTTTTCTAAAAAAATATCCTAACCTGGGGACTGAAATGTGAAGATTTGAAGTTTAGAAAATTGAAGGAAATTTATTAGATGTGGTTCGAAAATTGAACATGAAATTTCAAAAAGAAGAGACTTAATTCTGTGTGAATAGCAAATACAAGTTGGTGTATGGGTCCGTACTAATAGCGACTGGCAATAGTTTATTGTTCATAATAATTATGACCAATAAACTATTATTGAAAGAATAAGGGAGAGATTTGTTGAAGAGCTTAGAGGGGTCTGTAACTTATCCAACTAGTGCGTTTGCATGGTGCTCTACACAGTTTCATTGTAAGATGTCATGTGACCTCAATGAAACATGAGATGTCGTGTGACCTCAATGAAGTTTTTCTATTTAATGACAGTTTTTCACTGTTGCAGAAGAAATTCTCGTGATATAACAACTTTTTTAAGTGATATTTCTATCTTCCTAGGCATGTTCAGATTCCAAGTCAAGACCAGGATTTCTAACTGACAAAGCGTTGGATCCTGCCATCAAAGCTATCGTGAAGAAATTCCCTGTGACAGATACTAAAGTATGTTGTAGAATTGCATGCATTTTAGTCACTCTGTTAACAAAACAATAATTATTGTTTTTATTATACTTTATTTATGGGATATTCAAAGGAATAAAATAAGTACTAAAAATAACCAAAGGTAAGGGGTTGCCGGAAAGATCAGTCGCGGGAAAACAATATGTGACTAAGTATAGCAAGCAAGATCGATTGAGTGTCAAGACTCTCACAAAACATTTTTTCTCTAATGCTGTGCGTTGCATTAATGTAAGTTTCATGTGATGGAAGGTCAAAACACGTGTGATCAGATTATAATTGATAGAAGGTCCAAATGGGTATGATCAGATTGTGTCGTCTTTATTTCATTCATTCTCAGTGGAAGTCCAAATAAATGCTGGCTACATAATGTGCTGTGCATACTTAATAGCAACTTGGAGATAAGACGTACTGCAGTCTCCTCTATTTGCCCACAAGTACTACATAATTTTATTTTCAGTGCTTTGAACCCTTTGCTCTTTTGATTTTCAGAGCGTTCAGCTTCAGCCAGTTCATAGCATCCAAAANCAATGAAACATGAGATGTCGTGTGACCTCAATGAAGTTTTTCTATTTAATGACAGTTTTTCACTGTTGCAGAAGAAATTCTCGTGATATAACAACTTTTTTAAGTGATATTTCTATCTTCCTAGGCATGTTCAGATTCCAAGTCAAGACCAGGATTTCTAACTGACAAAGCGTTGGATCCTGCCATCAAAGCTATCGTGAAGAAATTCCCTGTGACAGATACTAAAGTATGTTGTAGAATTGCATGCATTTTAGTCACTCTGTTAACAAAACAATAATTATTGTTTTTATTATACTTTATTTATGGGATATTCAAAGGAATAAAATAAGTACTAAAAATAACCAAAGGTAAGGGGTTGCCGGAAAGATCAGTCGCGGGAAAACAATATGTGACTAAGTATAGCAAGCAAGATCGATTGAGTGTCAAGACTCTCACAAAACATTTTTTCTCTAATGCTGTGCGTTGCATTAATGTAAGTTTCATGTGATGGAAGGTCAAAACACGTGTGATCAGATTATAATTGATAGAAGGTCCAAATGGGTATGATCAGATTGTGTCGTCTTTATTTCATTCATTCTCAGTGGAAGTCCAAATAAATGCTGGCTACATAATGTGCTGTGCATACTTAATAGCAACTTGGAGATAAGACGTACTGCAGTCTCCTCTATTTGCCCACAAGTACTACATAATTTTATTTTCAGTGCTTTGAACCCTTTGCTCTTTTGATTTTCAGAGCGTTCAGCTTCAGCCAGTTCATAGCATCCAAAATGAAGTTATCAAAGGACTATCTAACTATTACTACACATTTGTGGATGTCATGGAATTCAGGGTAAGCAGTAAGCAATAAATAATCATATTTTTAGCAAATGAATTTGTTTTCTCTGTCCATATTTGTCAATAATCACTTGTTCTTTTCTTGTAAACTGTCTTATCACAGGATAATACAAGTGAGCTTCTGACCTTAATCGATGCCAGTTTTGTTCATTTTGACATTGTGAGTAGATGAAAACAGTTTAAGAAATAAATTTGACTGTGTGTTCAGGGTTGGTTTGACAAAGTTGTGTTAACTAAAAAGGTTCTTGCAAGCTTTCTTTCTTGAAGAAAATGACCACAACCATTGCATCTTATTAATGTACCATGTGTTAAAGTGTTTAAACTTTTATTGCATAGTCACTAAATTGAAGCATTCACTAAAGGTTTTCAGAGTTGAGCCTTCCTATGGGTACCCTCACACAAATTTTTCATTGCGCCTTCTTCATCAAATTATTTGTTTTTTGTCGAAACTGTTGCATATCAAGAATTTTTGTGTGTGATAACACCACTAGTAAGCTTGAGCAACCTTAATGATGACGAAGAAATGAGAAATGAAAAAAAACAACAGGCTTAACAAGCGAAAAAAAAAATGTGAATGTGAAGAAGTCTTTGTGACAGACTCTTTTACCATCATTCATGCCTACCAGTAGCATTGTTGAGCTTTGATCAATTATGGCAATATGTTGTTTCATTGTGATTGTTTGAAATACCCATAGAGAGGCTCAGAATTTAGTATGCAGGGACCAATTAAATAAATCCTGGTGTTACTCAATTTAATTGCTTAAATGGCTGGTTTTGAACTTAGGACCGTTTGACTGTGAGGAGTATTAGAGCTGCCTGTTAGCTAAATCCCGGCCTCCAAATGTTTAAAATTGTTTTTGGGTTAGCTTTATAATCGTTGTTCAAAGAAGTACATTTTACAAGTTAGTTGTAAATCTTTTTACTTCAGACGCTAAACTATGACTTGACCAAGGCCTATTTAGATCTCATTGTGACCTATGCCTCTCTCATGATGCTTGTATCACGAGTGGATGATCGAAAAGCTGTACTGGGCCTGTATAATCATGCATTTGAGATGAAGAATGGAAGAGGGTAAGTCCGGCACGGCATGGAGATCATTTCAATGTTTCTTAATAATAAATTTTTATTAGGTACAGTTCAGATGCCGAACTTTTCATGAGCTGAACCTAATAAATTATGTTGAGTTAACTACATGAAAAGTTTGGCGTCTGCATCAATTAGGAACACCTATTTCAATTTGGAACGGCTCAACCATTTTTCCTGCCTAACCTGGGTGGGAATTTCGACTTTGGAGTGACTTTGAAATAAAATTGATTCAGATGCCAAATTTTTCATGTGCTGAACCTAATGCGTAAAATAATACTAGAAAAGTTATTAACTGAAGCCGATAAGGCTCCATATTAATTAAGAAATCACTGACACTTGCACGTCCAAAGTGGAAGACGGACTGTTTTAAGAACACTTTTATTTTGTCATCATGCGTAAAGTACAATTAAATGATTCTGTTTTAATGCTTTTATATATTATATGCATGAATTTTTAATATTTTGAATGTTGATGTATTGTAAATTATTCTATTTTTAGCTTAGTTTTATTTGTAAATGTGCAATTCAGCCTCTGGCTGCCCATGTATGTATTTTAATAAACTATCTATTTATCTATCTATCTATCTATCTATCTATCTATCTATCTATCTATCTATCTATCTATCTATCTATCTATCTATCTATCTATCTATCTATCTGTCTATCTGTCTGTCTGTCTGTCTGTCTGTCTGTCTGTCTGTCTGTCTGTCTGTCTGTCTGTCTGTCTGTCTGTCTGTCTGTTTGTCTGTCTGTCTTTCTTTTTTAAGCAGTTTGACTGAAATGAGTGTTTTTCTCCTTTTGAACTAATCTGATCATAAATGTTATCTGTATGTCTTAATCTGTATTTTTTAGTGAAGACTCTTTTCCAAGGCTTGGATCTATGATTGTTGAGTATGAAACTCCTCTAAAGAAAGTAGCTGAACAATTTGTGCCACACCAACAGGTAAACCTTTTTTTGTTACGATTAGATCAAAATGCTTGTAGTCTTTAGTGCATGCCTGAGTTATAAAAATTGTCTACAGTTAAATGTATACTGTACAGTGTACTTACATGTACATGCAATGTACTGCACATGCTCTCTCAGTACACTAATGATACGTTTTTTATAACGGTAACTGATTTTGTTACTTTGAGAGTGGTTATGAAAGCAATAAATCATAACTCAATAGTTCATATTATTTATGTTAAAGGTCAAAATTAAATTCAGGTAAAAATATTTTTAACCTAGTAGGTTGATTCTCAATTTTCATGTCTCCTAGCCCTAAAATTTTACATTTATTCATGAATAAGGGTTAGCAGACAAAGGAAAGGTTGAGAACTTTCAATACATGTAGTTTTTGTAAACTCAAAGTTTTTTTACCTTATTAAACCATTCTTATTATTTGTGAATTCAGAGAGTCTCAACTGCACTGCACTCAGTTCATGAAGTTTACATCAGAAGAAATT